TGGTTTTTGCTTAAACTAATTTGATTTGAATTTATGACACTTGCAACCAAAAGTTTAGACTAAAACCTATTCATCCTTGGTTATCTTAATAGAGCCATAGTGTAAGAAAATACTCTGATTATTGAGCTCCTTCCCCTCTCCTCATCAGCAAAAGAATAGATGGTTTTACTGTCAATGTTAGAAAGAAGCAAATCTATAGCAAAACAAACAAAATGCATTAGGCAAGATCTTGGCATATCCTTTGAGTTTTAATTCCTGGGACTTAGACCTAAAGTTGCATAAATATTATAGTAGTGATGATGATGCCAACATGATAATTATCAAATGAAAAGTATGGTGGTTAATTTTATGTGTCAACTTGCCTGGGATACAGGTTGCTGAGATATTTGACTAAATATATTTCTGGGTGAAACTGGAAGTGTGTTCCTGGATAAGATTAACATTTAAATCAGCAGATTGAGTAAAGTGGACTCACCTCTGTGATGGTTAATTTTTTATGTCAACTTGACAGACCATGGGATGCCCAGATTAAACATTATGTCTGGGTGTGACTTTGATGGTGTTTCTAGATGAAATAAGCATTTGAATTAGTGGATTATGTAAAGTAGATAGCCCTCCCCAAAGTGGGCAAACATTGTCCAATTCCTTGAGGACCCAAGTGAATAAAAAGTAGAGTAAGGGAGAATTCTTCCTCTTTCTACCTGCCCGGTAAAGTTGGGACATTGGTCTTCCCCTGCCCTTGGACTGGGATTCCTAGGCCTTCAGACTTGAGTTGGAATTCTATCACTGGTTTTCCTTGGTCTCCAGCTTGCAGAATCTGTTGAAGACCTGAATAGAATAAACGTCTAGGTAAGAAAGAATTCTCTCTCTGTGTCTGACTGTTTTCAGTATGGGACATTAGCCTTCTGCCTCCTGGACTTTAATTGGAACTTACACCATTGACTCTCCTTGTTCAGGCCTTTGGTCTCAGACTAGAACTCCACCCTTAGCTCTCCTGGGTCTCCAGTTTGCTGACTACATATCTTGGGACTTCTTAGTTGCTGTAACTGCATGAGCCAATTCCTTATAATAAATCAATATCTATCTATCTATCTATCTATCTATCTATCTATCTATCTATCTATCTATTCTCCTAATGGTTCTATTTCTCTGGAGATCCTAGACTAATAAATACTTTGGTACCAAGGGCAGCATTGTCCAGTAGTGCTTTCTATGATGATGTTTCGAAATGTTGTCAATCTGTGTAGTCCAATAGAGTAGTCACTAGTCACTGTGGCTATTGAGTACTTAAAATGTGAATAGGATGACTAAGATGTATAGTTTAAAATTCTTATCTCATTTTAATTAATTTAAATTTAAATAGTTGGACTGTGTTAGTGCCTATCTTTTGGACAGCACAGTGCTAGGAACAAGCCATAGTTTTAAAGCTATGCTATTCCTTATAGTTGACTTTCCAGGCTTATTTTCTCCTATTCTCCTCTGTCCTTATAGTAATTGTTTGCTACTTCAATATGCTTTGTTATTCTGATTATTTTTATTTTATTAAGGTACAAATAAGATGTTCCCTAGAGATGTAGAGCAACTTGGCTGCTCAATCATTGGAATTATAAGGTAGCTTAATATTTCACTAGGGGTCAAGTAATATTATATTTACTATTAAATAGAGTTCTTCAAAATTCTTTATTGCAGCTATTTATTTACCAACATAGCTCCTTTTATTTGGCCAATCTGGACTAAAAACTGAGTTCTCATTTGGTTTTGGTATTGTTAATCGAACCTGGCTTGTTCCATAGAACTCTGTAATATTCCTAAAAGAAGTTATGTTAATACTCGTACAAATACAAATAATCTCCTAAAACAGCAGACTACAAAAATGAGAAAAAACAGTTGTGTATACTTTAATATGTAAACTGTAGTTGTTTCTATCTATATATTCCAAACATTTTGCTGTCGAAAAAAGTGAGGGATAGTTAACAATGGTCAATAGTGGTTATGTATTGGGAATAAAATCACTAAAGTAACTTTTGCTGGGTGTCTGTTTTATTTATTTCAGTTTCTCTCTACATAATTTGTATTTTGCCAACTCATGTGTTTCTTTTGTAAACAAAAAGCTAAATCTAATTTTTCATAAGTGCTGAATTTGTAGTTTGAGTGGTGCCACTTAATACTTAGAATTATTTATTAAGGAAAATAATGCCTAAAAAAGATACAAAGGGGGAAGTTAAGTAAATCTGTATTTATACAAATTAAACTAGAGGATAATCAGCTTTTCATGGATTCATCCATTCTTCAGTAAGTATATGTTGAATGATTAATGTGTTTTAGCTCTTTAATTCTAGTTGCTGAAAATCCAGTCAACAAGTTGAAGTCCTTGCATTCTTCCAACTTGTATTCTAGTTGGGGAGAAAACAAATACACAAGTATAAAGTGAATTAAATAATATATAAATAAGTTCAGGTTTATAACGGGCATGAAAATAATAAAACAAAGATAGATTTGGGTGGAGGAGCAGAGGATCATCAGTAAATGACTCTCTGGAAATGCCACATCTGAGCAGACTCCTCACAAAAGTAAGAAAATGACTATATCATGATCTTGAGTAAAAGTGTTCCACGTAAAAAACACCCCCCACACAAAAACCTTGTGGCAAGTATGAAATTAACTTGAATGAATATAGATAGAGTCATCTTCTTTAGAGAGCTTTTGGTTTATTTTGCTTTGTTTTTTAATAAAGCTGATTTTCAATATTACTGTCCAAGAGTTGAGAGTTATCTTCAGAATATTTCCATTTACCTTTGGTCATTTGTAAAATAACTATGGTACATATTAGTTGCTATTAAAAGGAATCATCTTTTAGGATGAATTTAAGAAAGTGCATGATGGCCACATATCTTGGATCATTTAGATTCAATCATAGTAGAGATGGAAGTTATACTACATAACATTACAAGGTCATTTTTACTCTATATATTGCAATTGCATATTTTAAAATCAGACAATGTATAGATGTTGGTATATTGCCACTTGGTTTATTCATGGAAAAATGAAGAAATAGTTAATCTTGAGATTGTAAATTTCTGAATATTTGTGAATTTCTTTTCAATATTTATATAACATCATCAATATAAGTTGAAATTCTAGCTATAAGGTATTTCAAGTGGGGTGGGGTAAAATAATAGGTCATAACTTAAAGACATTGAATGTTTTGTAAGTAGTAGCAAAATGCTAAGTTAAAAATGCTTTTAAAGGCAGTTAATATTGCTATATACTATCACACACACACGCACATATATAAATAATACTATATAGTATGCATTATACTATATATACTATATACCAAACCCAAGGATTCTTAATGTCTCTGCAACACAGGCAGCTGACCTCATATTTAAAACGCTAGAGAGCTGGAGAATGACAGTCAATGCTTCCAGTATTCAATACGTTAATTTTCTTTCACAATGGTCTACATTTTCACCAGGCCATGAAATTTCTTTTTCTAGGTCAATTTACTGCAAGAGTCAATTTTCTATGAGAGTCAGTTTAGCATGGATTTTTAGATTGTTTTAGTCCTGATATCTATAATGACTGTATATTTCAAGTGTTTAGATATTTCACTTAAATTTAACATTTTAAAAGAGAAATATAAATATTTCAATTAACGATGTGAAATCCCAGTAAATTTATCCATAGTTGTCAAAACTTGACACAATTTTCCCATTCACATTTCAAAAACTTTTGCCACAATTAAAACTTTTTTATTTGTTATTAATTTTTCCAGCTTTGAAGTATAACTGACAAATAAATTTGTGATATATTTAAAGTTTACATTGTGATGATTTGATATAAGTATACATTATGAAAGGATTTTACCTATCTAGTTAATTATGACACCCATCACCTTAAAACTGCTGACAAATTCCTTTGCTCCTAATTGAATAAAAAAGGCGTAAATACCACATATTATGATAAATACCAAAATTTTCAAACTGGTGGAAAAAGTCATAAAGTACAAGCTAACTGTGGTCTCCTCTGTGAAATCTATCTTAAAAGAATTCTAATATCTATAGTACAATTGGAGGAGGAGGAGGCTGTCATCCTCTTCTGTGACAGTACAGCAAAGAGAACCATAATATGCAAGGCAGGAAAAAAGTATTTGCTATCATTATATAACTTTTAAAATGAGTACTAAATGCATGGCTTGTATTTAAAACATTTAAAAATTACTTCAAAACAAAATATTTTTGCCATAAAGTAAAGGAGAATACAGACTTAATTATTAAAAAAAAAAGTATAGAAAATCTTCCAAACAGGTTTGATATTTTATACTATTGCATATAGGAAAGCATAGATAGATGCCATCTTTTGGCAATTTATGAAATTAATTCATTGTGTGATGACTCATAAGAGGTCAGTTAATTCGTACATTTACAGAGACACTGATAATCTATGTAGATAATAATAGCCTTAAAATTATGAAATTAAGATATGTAAAGATATTTAATTTCATTCTAAGAAATGTTTTAAGTTTTAGAGATGAAGTTATCCATACAATGACAACTCTACAACATATTGACCCTTGTCATACTTTAAAATATTGAAAGATTTTACAACCATTGAGCATTTTATATTTTTAAGTTAATTGATTAATAGCATCTAAGAATCGACTATTTAGAAAATATAGCATTATCTATTCTTTGTACTTGAGGATGACATTGTTTATTCAAATGGCTAGAGCTCATGTTTTGAGTGTCCTCCCCACCCCCCGCCCCGCCCCGCCCCAGGGCTGGAATAAATGCAAACTCTCTTCCATTCCCCTGAGTGTGTGGGCTAAAGAGAGCTCTTAATCACATTAAGGTTTATGACTCTCATCACATTCAAACCCTACAACCATTTTCAACCTATCTAATTAAATTAATCAATTTGTTCTATGGTTTACAAGAAGAGTTACTTTTGTGTTGGGATGACAAGGAGACTCCTGGAGTTCCTGAAAATAACAATGTAACAAAAATCCTCTTGGCCTTTTAGTCTCCTCCATTTCATAGAACACCCACAAAATTCTCCCTGGGGTTGAGTGTGCAGTAAAGCACTGTTAAAGACTAGAACTTCTCTAAAAAGTCTACAAATAATAAAAGCTGGAGGATGTGGAAAAAAAGGTACCCTCCTACATGTTTGGTGGGAATGTAAATTAGTGTAGCCACTATGGAGGACAGTATGGAGGTTCCTTAAAGAAGTAAAAATAGACTTACTATATGATCAGCAATCCCACTCCTGGGCATATATTCAGAGAAAACTATAATTCAGAAAGGCACGTGCACCCCAATGTTCATAGCGGCACTAATTCTAATAGCCAGGACATGGAAGTAACCTAAATGTCAATCAACAGATGACCAGGTAAAGGAGATATGGTGTATGTGTGTGTCTATATATACATATATATATATGTATATATAGACACACACATACACACACAAAAAATTATTATAAAATAAAATATTACTCAGCCATAATAAAGAATGAAATAATGCCATTTGCAGCAACAAAGATTATCATATTGAGTGAAGTAAGTCAGAGAAAGACAAATATCATATGATATCACTTATATGTGGAATCTAAAAAAAAATACAATTTCTATTTACAAACCAAAAACAGACTCATAGACATAGAAAACAAACTATCATTACCAAAGGAGAAAGGACTGGGAGGGATAAATTAGGGTTGGGGATTAACAGACACACATTACTATATATAAAGTAGATAAACAACAAGGACCTTCTGTATAGCATAGGGAACTTACTCAATTTCTTATAATAACATATAATGGAAAAGAATCTGAAAAGAAAATGTATATATGTATGTATATGTATAACTGAATCACTTTGCTGTACATCTGAAATGTACATTGTAAATCAACTATATTTCAATAAAATTTTTTTTAAAAAGACTGGAACTTCTCAAACTTTGCATAGTACATATAAATCACCCTGGAATCTTGTTATAATGACGAATCTGATTTTGTAGGTATGGGGCCTCAGACTATGCAGTTCTAACAAAATTCCCAAGTGATGTTGGTAGTGTTGGACTGAGATCACATACTGCACAGCAAACCTACAGACTGTTTTAGTATAGAAATCCTAATTGCTCTGGCAGTTACCAAGAAGAAAAAGAACACAAATTTGCTTCTGATATTGACCACAAATGCTGAGGATACCCATGTTTAATTGGGGCATTCCTTGACTATAACAATATTAGAGTAAAATTTTTTTTTTTAGCTCAGTGAGACTTTAGAAGTCATCAAATGCAGCTCCCTCATACTATACTATAGTTGAGGCAACTGAGGGTCAGAAAAGTTGAATATATGCCCAAGGTCATACAGCTGGCAGAGGATGTGCCCTGGAACCCAGGAACCCTGACTACAGTTTCAATAAAGAAACCTTAACTTCTTTGGCATTTCCATCTTTATATACTCCCTGACACAAAACATAAGTAAGAGTCAATAATGATTAAAATTTCACCTTTTGATGCTCACAATAGTTTAAATGATAGCAGTATCTTTAGACTTAACTGACTTTCCTAAAAGCTAAAACTCACAGTAGGCAACTATCTACTACAATGACAAGAGTATTCACACATCCTCTTTCTTCTAAAGTCCACTCTCAGTTTTATTATGGACATTTTGCTTCTTAATTTTGAAAACCTGGGGAGAAAGGTGGAGAGAGAAATGAATGGGTCATTAGTTAAAAGGCAAGAGTTGAATTTGTGAAAGGTTGTGGCAAAGTAAGCAACAAATGGGAAAGAGCGGAGGGCCTCAGTATTGATCCTGCCTCTCATCTTTCCCTCCATCTCCTTGCTTGCAGGTTTCTATTGTGTAGTCTCGGAAACAAAGCAGACTTTATTTATGGTGTGACTGATTTAACACTACTGAACTAGTCCATCATCTGCTAATTTGGTCCAATTAAAAACTGGTCATAGGGAAAAGCCTGAGAATCAAGCTCGTTTGGAAACACAACTTCTGATTAATTTATGTCCTGTTTATTTATATCTCTTCTTCTAAAGGGCACTTTCAGGGTGCTGATTTATAGAGGTGGTTCTTTCCAGATTCCTGAGTTTCTTTTTATGATCACTTTTGGTTGAGTCTCTGAAGTAAGTACAGTTATGCTTTTTCTCCCTTCCTTAAGGCTGTTGTTAAGACATTTATAGAGATTGCCTAAGATTTCCTGCTATCCTGAATTAGAAAAATCCCACTAAACAGCTAGAGCCGTCAAAGCACTTACACATTGCTGTACTAACATGTTTGCATTCTCACTTAATCCTTACAACTCCAAGAGTTAAGTACTATTATTATCCCCATTTTGCAGTTGAGGAGGCTTCTGATTTAAACATTCAAGAAAATAAAGCACTGTGAAGCAAGAAGTGACAGCTATGGGATTTGAACCCGGGTCTACCTGATCTAGGTATACCTGACCTGACCTGTACGATACTGTCACCTGCTAGGCTCTACTGAGATCTATGCATAGACTAAGTCAAATTCTCATGAATAACAACAAATTAATTTCCTCCACCCCTAAAATTTTTTCCCTCTGCCACACAAGTTCTTGTAGGCAGGTAGGTGTTCCGCTCCCTATACTTAGCCTCTCCCACGCCCTCCGCAATCGTTCCCTTTTGCTGCTGGGAGCTTCAGAGAATGCAACTGCAGCTGGTGAGTGGGCAGGTGCAGCCACCATCTGCTCTAGGAGTCCAAATGCGCAAAAGAACTTCACACCCAGGACCTGGCCCAGGCACCACGGATTCCAGAACCTGCTGGGGACACGGCTAACCCCGCCCCCTCGCGGTGGCGATTGGCTGAACCCTTCCCGAATGCTAGGCACTGATTAATGAAGGCGCTGTCTCCTCTGCAAGTTAAGGCAAGACTCTCTAAGGAGGTGAGACCCGCCGGGGATGTGTGAATGGGGGCTTTAGTTCTTCCTGCCCGAAGGGTCCTTGAGAAGCCTGTTTGTTTTTCCCGGCGCCTGTCTCCACCCATCCCTTTCTCTCATTGGCCGGCCCTGGTGGGCGGATGTGTTTCCATTGGCCAGGGGGCGGTGTCTGTCCCTGGCCTGGGTGGGGGCGGGGCCTCCGCCGCGCTGAGCTTGCCCTTGTGTCTG